GGGAGTTGCTGGGGGCGGTGCTTGGAGGCAAGGGCAACGCACGGAGCCCTCTGCTGCCCCCGCCCCCCACTCCCGCCGCCTGAGGGCCGCAGGGACGTGTGCCGGCCTCTTCTGAGAGCGGCGCTGGGCCCATGGCGCCACGGGGGGCAATGCCGCAGGCCGGATCCAAAGCCCTGAGGGGCCGGATCCAGCCTGCGGGCTGTAGTTTGCCCACCGCTGTACCCAGTATACCTGAGTATACTGTGCTGGGGTGTACATCTCCTGTTGTTCCCCAGGTACTGGGTGTATTGGAGTAATACCACCCGGGGGTATAGTACAGCAATACTCAAGTAGTTTGTAATACTGGGTTACAATCGGCTAATAGCCAGGTATTGTCTGGGGTAAGGAAATATCCTTGTGAAGGGTAGACCGCTGATACCCAAGTACTGCTTAATGAGGGAGAATTGTCCCATGGTACTTGAGTACTTGGGAGACCCCCTCCCTGGCGTATAGTCCAGTGGGATCCAGGTACAGTAACTCCTCGCGCAAAGTCGTCCCGGTTAACGTCATTTCGTTGTTCTGTTGCTGATCAATTAGGGAACGTGCTTGTTTAAAGTTGTGCAATGCTCCCTTCTAACCTTGTTTGGCAGCCGCCTGCTTTGTCCACTGCTTGCAGGAAGAGCAGCCGTTGGAGCTGGTGCGGGCTTGGAACCAGGGTGGGCCGGCAGCCCCCCCGTCAGCTCCCCTAAGTTCCCTGTGCGGCAGCCCCCCAGCAGGTTATCAATCGCTGTCCCTTCCCCCACTGCCCTGTGCTGCTCCTGCCCTCTGCCTGGGAGTTGCTCCCGGGAGCCTCCTGCTTGCTGTGCCGGGGGCAGGGAGGGTTGCCAATGTCAGGGTGTCCCCCCGCCCCCCACTCCTGTACCCAGCTCCACGGGACGGGGGGGGGGGCCACAAGACAGGGCTCAGGACGGAGGGAGCTTGCTGGCAGCAGCTGCTGTCTGAACTTGCTGATCTACTTAAAAAGTTAATGTGCTTAGAGTGGGGTCAGTGCCGTGATGAGCTCCCAAAATCCTAAGAACCGGTTCCCTACCGGGGCTTCGGCGGCGGGGGGCGTGTCTTCACTTGCTCCAGGTTTTCGGCGGCAGGTACTTGACCCGGAGCGAGTGAAGGACCCGCCACCAAAGTGCTGCCCAAGATCCGTTAGGGAACCGGTGCTTAGGGAACTCTGCACCCCTCGCAGAGTAGCCCCTTTCCCTTGTGTGCATGTTCTAGACAGGCCCCGCCCCCTCAGAATGGCCCCGCCTCCAGTCTGTCCAAGTAGCCCCGTCCCCCCAGTGTGTTCCACGTGCCTATCTCCCCCCACTGCCACCCACCCAGCCGACCCCAACCCACGTCCTGCCCCCGACTGCCCCCCTCATAATCCGCAACCCATCAACCCCCTCTCCTTGTCACCTGACCACCCCCTCCCAAGACCCCCCACCCTAAATGGCCCCCAGGACCCCACCCCCTACCCAACTCGCCCCGCTCCCTGTCCCCTGACTGCCCCAACCCCATCCACCACCACCCCGACAGACCCCTGGAACTCCCACGCCTCCCCAACCCCCGCTCGTTCCCAGTCCCCTGACCGCCCCCCCAGAACCTCCAACCGCTCCCTACCCCTTATCCAACCCCTCCCAGCCCCGGCCCAGCCCCCTTACCAT